GGATATGGGAGATCCAGGTATAGTGACAATATGATGCATCGTCGTGTGTTTGGCTGGCAGGCAGATTCCTTCGGGTTTCATCAGGTTGGGAAACTCTGCGAGGAGGTCCGACCATGAATAGTTGACAGGCGTAACCTTGATTTCTGAAACAATAATCGATAGTGACACTCTACATGGGATCCTTAATCCAGTTGTTGAATGGATAAGGCAGCCGTCCTTCAGATCAGGTAAAATACTGAAATGCTGAGCCACTTGGTGCATAGAATGTCGTCGGGAACCGTGCCGTCGAGGCTCCTGAGGTAACGTAAGAGCTGCGATGGCTTGCTGCCGCCCAATACCTCTCGGTCGAGTAGCTACTGGAGTCGCGCATCTCGGGAGAGCGTGAGGCGTTCGACGAGAGTCTCCTTGAGGCGTGTGAAGGGCGTCTCCGTGGGCACGTTTAAGAGTATGTCCTGCACCTCAGCAGCGGTCTTCGCGTCGAGATGTGACGAGGCGTAGTAATAGCTCGTTATTTCATCAGTAATCCTGGCGAGGTGAAACTGACCTTCAAACTGCGCGAACCACAAAGCTGGGCGTCAACACGCGAAAACGCGAAAAACTATTCACTCAGATCACGTCGGGGTCACCAGTGGTGGCGGTTAGGTGTATAGAGACACAATAATAATTCGAGATTGTGGAATATAAAGGCGTTATATTTATCGCAGAAAGATGTCTTTACATAAAATATATAAATCGGACTGAATTTAACTGAGCTATTCGTCCGGGAGCGTGCGAGTTTAAATATTTTCTGTTATGGAAGGTTTGACAACCGTCCAGAAATCTCGTGAGGGGCAAGTACAGAATGACGCCTGTCTCGAATATGACGGTATAGAATATTCAAGACGCGTTAATAAACTTCGAAACAATTCGTTTGTGGCTCGCATCACAAAAAAATCAGATCTTTTTGAGGATAAAACCATATAAGAAACTGCCGCCAAATCAGGAACATCAACATACATTGACTTTTTCCTATCAAAAAATATCAATAACGAAACGCACGACCTGCTCGATTTTTTTTTTCAATAAAATTGAAAAATTTAAATATTTTAATAGATATTCAATCAACCTTTTCTGAGAAAATGTGAGATGTTTCCACTGAATATTCTTGTGTAATGTGGGTATGGAAAAACATTCCATAACCAATAAATTGCAATAACCAATTAAAAAAAGAAAATAATTTTTAAGAAGTTTTTTTTTTCACCATTTGGGGCGCTCTTTATGGAACGTTCCCCACTGCACTGACTCTGCGACCCCCACTATCGTCGTTTGAGGACCTATAATTGGAAGGGCCATAAACTTTATGGGGTTCCTAATGCATATTTATGAAGTAACTTCGACCTATCTGAACTTTGCCCATCCCTGGTTTAGGCGATGGAAAAAGTATATTTTGGTAACGAGTGCAAAAAAGTGTTTTTTGGCGAGTGGGAGGTTTATATCACGAGCCGAAGGCGAGTGATATAATCCCACGAGCTAAAAAACATTTTTTCACGAGAAACGAACAATATTTTTCATCACAATGTGGCGGAAATTGGACTTTTAGGCACACGGAGCGTGCCGAAAAGTTCACTTTTCGTCACAGCGTGATGAAAAAATATTTTCGGCAATAGAAAAATTCTGAATTAATTCAGCTAACTTATTTCGACCCTAAATGAAGTATAAAAATTAATAGTGAAGAAATGAACGTCCACTTCGAGTTCAAAAGAGGTAATTACATGACGCTAGACATTGTAGCATGATTTCATCACAGTAGTGGTAAAGAAAAAATACTTCCTGTCATAGCAAAATTTTTGATTAATTTAGACAACTTATTTTGACCCTAAAGGATTAAAAATGAAAGATGAAGGAATCAATTTCAACTATGATGAAGTCACTTCAATGAGACTTCATCATAGTTTTGACGATAGAAAAAATCTTTCCGGTCATAGAATAATTCTGAATTGATTCAGACAACTTCTTCGACCCTATATGATATATTAAAAACCGATTGGAGCGAAATCTCCAATCGATTTTTAATGTGATGAAAACAAATATTTTAAACTATAATTGAATTAATTTGAAGCATGATATTCAAAGACAGCCCCGGAATTGTGATTTTCAAAAACTACAAATTGTTTTAAAATTTTCGAATATATCAAAATAACGATCGTTACTATCGCCTTCATCTTCGAACTCGGAGAACGGGATATACAAGCAAATTTTTTTAGCCATCATTCAATCAATTCTGAACAGTGTTTTTTTAGTTATCACGGGACAACCGATTTCCGGAAAAATTCATAAATTAAAAAAACTAATGGATGAATTAAAATTTAATTAATGGCGATCGAGGGGGCTCAACAATACCTAGATTTAAAAAAAAGATTCAATTCCATCCATTTATTAACGAACAATTGAATAAAAACTTTACACACACATATGTTCGGATACAGTCTAAAAATTACATTTTCGGACTTTATGGATCATAATGGGTCGATATAACACAAAAAATCAAAAATTTAAATGTGAACGATTACAATGCTTCCATTGGTAAGCAAAAATAAAAAAGTTTATCTCGAAAAGATAGGCTCAGGTGTGTCAAAATCACTTGAAGCGTGTAGAAAAGTGTTTCCCTAGAAAAGTGTTTATACGACCTTTAAGCTAAAATTTTCAGGGAAATCCAAAAAAAAGTCTATTCAACTTTTTGGCACAACACACGCGATATAAAGGTCTAAATATAAGGGTCGAAATATAAGTGTCAAAAAGTAAGGGTCAAAATAGAAGGGTCAAAAACTACAGGTCACATGGGTCAAAATACAAGAGTCTGAAAATACAAAACACAATCTAAGGTTCAGAATTTGAGGGTCACGAGGGCCAAAATCCAAGGTTCAGAATTTAAAGGTCACCGGTGGCAAAATCTAAAAGTCATAAGGGTCAAAATACGAAGGTCTGAATATAAGGATGAAAATCTAAATTTCAAAATTCAAGGGTCACAAGGGTGAAAATATGAGGGTTTGAATTAAAGGGTAAAAATCTACGGGGTGACCCTTGAGGGTAATTGTAAGGATCAAAATGTAAGGACTGAAATCCAACCGTCAAAATCTAACAATCACAAGGATGAGAATCTACGGGTCACAATGGTCAAAATAGAGTCAAAATTTAATAACCCTCTGACTCGCAACCTTAACCCCACTACCTATGGAGGCCGGATGTTCGACGTGGAAGGGGATGAGTAGCGAGCGTGCGAACACTGCTGTAGCACTAAACGTACGTTTGAATACATGAGTCCCAAATATAAATTTTTTAAAATGGAATTCATTGGTAGACAGAATGAAACAAATTCAAGAAAAAAAAGTAATTTGAAAGAAGACATCTCATTGCCAGCAATCTCCAAATCAGAAACAGGAATTCAATTTTTAACAAATGCTTACACCGGATAATTCTCAATACTTGAAGACCATTATCGTTCTAGTTTTTGATTAATTTTTTCTTCTTCTTTGCTGAAAAATCATCTGGATTCATTTCATAATTTGAAGGATCTTTCTTCGTTTTACGTATTTATCACGCGTTCCGCATACACTTTTCAATGAACTTTCATTTTTTTAGGCACTGATAGAGCACTGACATTTCTTTTTTTATCTGTCATTATTTGTTGACTATCTATCAAAACTTCTATTACGTATTCCGCGAGAATATGCAGAGGGTCCCGATAACTTTGCAACACTTACAACGGTCCTGACGCGACACGAGTGAGGGAATACTCGCGTGACCATTTCTCACTAACACATCGCACGGTGCGCTGCGATTGGCGGCCATCAGCGAGACGGCTTCGTACGGTTTCCGAGTCAGAGGGTTAAGAGTCAAAATCTAAGGGTCACAAGAATCCAATTGTAAGGGTCAAAGGCTAAGGGTCCGAAAATGAGGGTCTGAAGAAGTTGAGACTGAACCTTTCCCCTCCCGCACCGCTGATAATCAGCATTGAATAATTGAAAATAATAGCAATCAGATCGATGAACGGTCTTAGATTTTAAGATTAATTTAAGTACTTAAAAATTCGGACATCCCGGTCTTACGATTCTGACTTATCGATCTTAAAATAAGACCGGAGTTTTTGCAGTGTATAGCAATATTTTATCAACTATCGATATAATATGAAACAAAAAAGCACTAATAGAACATATTTTTGTATTACATGACTTATCAAGTTATCCCGATACAAAAATTAATAAAATAACAAAATGTAATTGTTTGAAAAAAAAAAATAGGTAAATTGCTCTATGACAACATGTATTGAATCCATCGGCCAAAAATTTTATACACAAGTGTACCTCAATGATACGAACTAGTAGCCGAAATTTTAGATTCTTATTTCATTCAACTCTTATATGTATTACGGTACGTCAAATTAGCTCTCATATAAAAAAAATTAGAAAAACGCAATTGTCTGGAAAACTTTGTATGAACGGGGATACATGTTTTGATTGATATCTGATAGAGAACATCGCGCATTTTCACACAATTTGCTAAAAACATCATATCTTCACATTTCATGACATTCTACATCATTTCCAAGTGAAATTAGAAGATGGTTAAAATTGATGATTACAAAGCTTCCATTCGAAAATAAAAATAAAAATAAACCATTATCAAATGGTTCATATTTTCAATAATTTTTTTCTTCTTTAGAATTTCTATCAATAGAATTGTTGCTTTTAACTACAAACTTTTCCATTGTCTAAGTTCCATTAAGTTCCGACTTGGCACATTGACCGAATGAAATATATAAATTCATTTTCTTTGAGAGGAAAATGAACTTGCTATTTAACATCTTGGATCGCTTCTTAAATAACTCACAAATTCAAGACTGATTAAATTGTATACCTAAGGATGAAAATCTTAGATTAATTTAACAAGATTCGGGTATCGAAAAATATGGCTCTTCACATCAAACCACACATAGTTTAAAAAAAGAAGAGAAAACAAGTTACCTCAGTACTTTTCCTTTTACGGCTAACCAATGAAGCAGTAGTGATGAGTTGGATTGCATATCTCAGCGAAGAATCAGCTGCAATTCTAGTGAGAACAGTAAGTGCATCATCAGCCATTTCGCAGTCCTCCTCCTCACATCTAATTTTCAAGATTTCTTTAAGATCCTTCTCCTGATATGGAGTAGTGGGAACAATAATCATTCTGTCTAAAAGGTCAAGGGGAATTCCGTGAGGGCTTCTGTAATTGGTTCCTCTGATTCTAGTAATGCCTCTGTTTGTTGCCATTATGACAATGGGTGACATTTCATTTTCGAGAGCACGATTCAAAAATGAGAAACACTCAATATCAAGCATGTGGACCTCATCAATAAACAAAACACCGGGTACAATTTCGGCTTTCCCTTCTTCTCGCCATTCACCAACCTTAGCATTGATCTGTTCTCGCACTTCAGATTTTATTTCACCAGTGTCACCAGAAAATAATGCCAAGAAACCATGAGTTCTACTATTGATTACATCAATCTCATGCAATGATACTGTATGTACAACTTCTTTACGTTTTTGAAGTTCACCTTCGGGGCACTGCACAAATCGTGTTTGGGATCCAGTGGCATCATAATCTCTGGCTCGCGTGAATGATCGTCCCAATCTGTTGATTTTACCAGTTGCCTTATCAATTGTGATGACATCACCAGCTTGAACTTTTTCCTTCATCAAACTGTCAATCATTTTGTTACCAAGATCATAGATGGTCTCCATTTCAGTTGTTTTTAATGTTAGTTTACCAACTTTGGCACCAACACCAGTTGCTGGTCTGTCTACCTGAATCTCTACCACTTCACCCTCAATTATTTCAGTTTCTTCTTTGATTCGAACACCAATTGATTTACGTATTGCTTGAGTAAGTGCCTCGGTTTTACTCATCTCTAATGAATAAATTTCAGATCCTGCCATGGAAGTGAAGGGTGTATCTTGACCGAGGGCTTGAGCGAGACCCATTGCTATTGCTGTTTTTCCTGTCCCAGGCTGTCCAGCAAGCAAAACGGCACGTCCTGCAATTTTCCCGTCTTTAATCATTTCTAAGATTACGCCTGTTGCTCTGCGAGCGCTCAGCTGACCCACCATTCCTTGAGAGACCTGGCATCATTATTATTTTCATGTTAGGTACAAGAATAACAACATTTACTAAAAACAATAAAACAACTCACATGGCGAGGCTCCAAACTATCATCGAGTCCAAGGCCGCGAATGTGGGAATGCGCTCCAATCCGCTCGATTCGAGTGATTTCGCGCACTTCCTGCACTTTTGCTGCTGCAACCGCCTGAAAGGATAAAAAAGAGACTAACATTCGCCCATTATCATAAGCTAAAACATCTATCGAGAAAAAAGTTTATAGATTTCTGAACCAAGTTATTGATTTCAAGAAAGTTATGTTTTTAGCAAGCATTGAATGTGTGACTTTGTTGAAGAAGAATAATCCCTGAAACTCAGTGCTAAAGGAATAAAATTCTGTAATAAGTCAACATTAAATCACAATAAATTGAATCAAAAGCAGATGATATAGTTTTAATAACAAAGGATCCATAAACATGATGAGATTAATTTTAGACCAGAAAAATCTTCAATTTATGGATAAAAATGTTCTCACATTTAAAAACTGAATGTCCTTGATTCAATAATCAGAAACTACTTCTACAGTTATACCAGACCTAATTAAGTAGAAGTTACTGAGGATCAGAACTTTTTCTCTTATTCTCAGAAAAAATTGTCCTAGAATCAGTGAAAACTCACTCATTTTCAGTATTGTTATTATGGAATGTCTTTATACAGAATTTTTACGGAAAACCAGCAATTTCATTCCTTCGTTTACACTCGGTTTGAATGTTATCCATGAATTTCCCTTCCGTGTATCACCACGGCTACCACTAAATTATTTACTAATTATCATAGGACATTTACACGCATCGATTATAGGAATATTCGATATTCATCGAAAACTACGGCGATTTTTTAATGAAGATATTGTGAAACAATAATATTTTCTATGAAACTTATTCTCATGGTTGGTGAAAATATAAAATGAGGCAGACAATCCGGCTTAACCTATAATTCTCAAACTGCGGTCAGTATGACTTTATGGGGAGATAGATACCACTAATATACACAAAATTAGACACTGAAATTGGACATAATGAAAAGAAATAGGGTCACAAATTAATCCGACGCCTTTTGAGACAAAAAGTTCTAATAAATATGACAACATTCTTACCGCCATCGTTTATGCGTGCTTCTGTTGTTTCTTTCCAGAGATGTGCGATGTTTGTCGATTAATCGAAAACATCGATTTTTCATGCCCGAACATCAATGTTTTTCATTCGATGTTTTGAACTGCCGATTAATCGATTTTCGATTCTTTTTTCCAAACTTCGATGTTTCTGACCCTGGCGATCCAGGAGCGACGGTGTAGCGTCGTTGTTGCGTCGTTGATTTTTATTGTCGATTTTGGGGCTGGTAAAGGGGGGACGACCCGTAAAAACATTATAAAAGTTGATATATGAGGTATTTATTCATATTGGTAACGTTAATTGCATTGTTATTTATCAATTGGATAAAATTATTTTTAGTGTTAAGAATGATGATAGAAGCTTGTAGGAGGAATGCCGCGAGATGGCAGTAGCGTCAATTTCCCGCTCGGATCGGTAAAGTCGACAGTAGTCGTAGACCAGGCGGGTCTGACCAGTCGTCTACCGAGCTAGTTAACGGCTGTGCAATGTTACCGCATGTTTTGTTATTTTATTTTAAGTAATCAAAAGTGCACAGAAGATAGGAATTGCATCGGATATATTTTCGTATGATTAACTTTGGATAATAATAATTATTTTTACATTGCTTTAATTTATTTTATAAAGTGTTTATTAGGGGGGGGGGACATGATAACACAGAGTTGCAAATTCCAGCCAAGGGGAGGGGATTTCAAAATCTATCTGAGGCACCCCCATCCCTCCGTTCGCATGCGTTGATGATATAATAAAAAATGTTCAATAAATAATCAAAATCGCGAAAATTAATAATTTACGTGGGGGTGAAGGGGTAGGTACCCAGGCGAATAAGGATCCATGTTGTAGCATGGATGTAGCATGGATGTGCATGGATGTCATTTTAAGGCGAAAAATGGGCCAAAAATGATTGGAATATAATCAAAAAATTATTTAAATGCTGATAGACAAACAATTGGTCCCAATTAATACCCATTAATAGGTTATTTTGTATAATTAGGAGAAATTATTGATGGTGTGCTGTGTGGTAAAGAAGTTCAGATGGGAGAATGCCGCGAGATGGCGCCAGTGTTAAATTATCGAGTCGGCGG